ATCTTCTTAAATATTGAAGGAGGATATGGAAATGACAGTAAGGCATTAATTTTTATATATTTATACAGTCAGGAAGGAAATGGAAAGGAAATGGTAATTATAATTTACAAAATATTTGACTGATAATAAGGAAATGAAGGGAACAATGAAATGACCAATACAGATAGAAATAATTACAACAATTTTTTTCAACACAAGTTATTGCTACAGGCACACAGAAAAACTGTTCTTAGGCAAGTAGAAGAAGTAAAAATTTTCAAAGGATAGATATTTTTGTCTGTATATCAAACTGAGAAGGAATTTTATACCGAGGGTGGAACAGAAAGATTGCCATCTGTGATGAAAAGGGGATGTGAGGTAGCATTTGCTAAAATTAAACATTTTTAAAAACAACAGACACATATCTTGCACCAAGAACCTTTAAGGGATAAGGAACTCCTGGTAAAGTTAATTTCAACAAAACTTGGGAAACAAAATTTCAAATGACTGCAGGATTATCAACATCATTTGAATATTCAAAAGTATAGAAGGGATGAACTAGAGAATTGCAAACTAACCAAGCCAATGCTGATCCTGGATAAATAATATAAAACTGAATTCCAGACTATATTACCAAAAATTTGAAGGAAAAATCTAACTAAAACCTCCAGCATGATCTCACTTGAAAAAGCTGGTTTTTAAAACCATCCCATTTTTGGATTAAAGAAAAATTGATCAATTAATTTTTGTGTCTGTGTTTAAAAACCTGTGAATCAGTACCCCGCAGCATTTTGCCATTAAAATCTTTCAATATCATACAGCAGATGAGTTACCACAGGCTCAGAAGACAGATGTCAATGAGAGATTATCTTTCAGAAGGTGTTCCCAAGATCTGCTCCTTGGTTTAGCACTTTGGTCACTGACAGGTTGCTTTTACCAGGGAAGCCTGAAGTGATGCAACAGGCAGGAGGTAGAAAGGAGAGGAAATAAGTCACTACTACAAAATACATCATCTACCACAGCTAAAAAGTCAACCATGAACCAAAAAAAAGGTGATTCAGATGGAAATTTGTCATGGATTGTGGTCATGACATGAATTCTAGCTTCAGTAATAAAAAGGGGATGTGTGATTTATAGGAGGGATATAAAACAAAAGTGAGTAGAGAGACAAATGCGAAAAGAAATGGGTTCCAAATAGACATGGAGGAAAACTGTCCAGCAGAAAAGGTAATGAAATAGAAGTAAATGGTCTGAAGCATTATTCACTCAACACAGTTTCTGACTTTTAGGAAGAGATTGGACATACACTTTTCACAAATGACTGAGATATGCTGGCGTGCTTTGGTTTCTATTTTATCAGTGGACAAGATGACCAGCTAAGGTCCCACCCAATCTTACATTTTGAGGTTATACTGAATTTGGTGGTATCTATCTATATATCTACTCCTGGTGAAAAGAATGGAAGGAATTCAAGAAAATGCTTTAAGAATGTAAACCTCTGAGGTTTCAAAAAGTCTTCCTCACAAACCCCTCCCTTCTCCCTTACGAAGCAGAAAAATTACCCCCAAGCTAGTTTAATAAAACTGGACTACACAGGATAGAAAAGGTTACTTTTTTTATGTTTTTTTACCAGACATATACCACTACAGCGGCTTTTTAATGTTCCCAAACTCCACATGACATCTAGTGAAGTTCATTAATAACACAGGATTATCATCCAGTGGATTCTAATGAAATTTTAGAAGCTATCAAAAAAAAAAACCAACCCAAAATAAAATATTCTGGATACCTATTAGTTACTTGGTTTTTTTTCCTGTTCCTTCTCCATTAAATCACTGGCCTCAGACTTAACACAAAGGGGACAGTCAATCACAACCATTTTTATCTGCTGTCTTTGTCAGCACTTATCTGCACAGCTTTAAAAACAAAAGCTGTACGAGACAGCGTCAGGTGCTTCAGATGCTTCCCCTTTGTGCACTGCTCCCATCACCTGTCTCACTGCTCTTGTTAAATCTTTGATGGGAGTCTTCAGCATTCCTGCAAAATAATTTATGCATTTTCCCCACCTCTGCAACTACCTTGTGACAAGAACCAGAAATCACAGAGGAGCCTGCAATTAATGCATTTCCACCATCTGAAACCAATGCTGCAAAACCAGAGCCCAACCTTGTCACAAACATCCAGTGGCATGGTGTCTACTGACAGAGCAGCTCAGTTACAACCTGGATTGCTCTGACCATGAATTGAGTGAAGCTCAGTCACACCTGAGCCCTGCAGTTAATTTAGCAGTATATGGTAAAGGAAGACTGTAAATGTGACATCTGTGCAAAGATAATCTGCTTGACTGATCCCTTCCTAATTCTGGGGCTTAGCCTCACTGAAAAATCCCATGCATTGAATTCTCCACATGTGAAGGTAAATCAAAATTTAAAAGTTAATTTGTTCCATTAGGAACATTTAGAGGAAATACTAATCTGTTATGGAGAATATGGAAAAGTGGAAATCAAGGATAGACTTACCTAAGAAGGAGATGTTAAAAGAAACTGATTCAGCAAAGAGCAAAACGTCACCAGAATTATACCTGGAGCATCTTCAAACAGTTTGGAGAAGTTCATAAGGGAAATTGTGGGAATTCATAAGGAGCTCACATGGAGCTGTTAATCAGAGAGGCAAAGTCACTGACACCACCTCAGGGGATCAATGTTGCAGCCTGCTTTCCTAAAGCAGCTGAGGCAGGACCCATGGGCTTTGCTGCTGGTGCAGGGGAGGTGTCAGTGAGGCACTGGCCACCAAGGGACTCTCTAGTGCCACTGGCTCTGCTTCCCAGTACTCAGGGAACAGAGCTAGACTCAGATCTCAGGAGCTTCCAGCAGCTGGGCTCCAACACGTGCCAGAGCCTCCTCCATAATAACAAAGATTAGCCCTGACATTTCCAATATTCTTAAATATAAAGTAAGAAAAAAAGCACTATGTATATTTTTAGGCACTCTTCTTGTCTGTATTATTTTTCCTGTAATAAATCATAAGGGCGCAAAAAGAACCCAAGTTTAAATTTAAATATTTTCAAGAAACCTTTAAGAGAAGTACATCCAGTATTAAGGTCTGTCATGTTTATAAATATTACAAAATATTATAAAACAAGGTGGCAAAAATTGTGAAGAAATTCCAAAAAATAACCACAAGGTTGTTTTTAGGGTATTTTTCCTCTTAGATCCACAAATGTTATCTTTTCAGTAAGCTGTTAAGATGGAAGATGACTATTCCCTTTAATTATGCTGGGAAAGTGAGGAATGGGGGAAGCAAAAGAGCTGTTTGAACTGAAAACCAGCATTGGCAAAAGACAGAAATGAATATACACAGGCTGTGCATAAATATAGATATGGATTTGAAAGGTTTTGAGCCACTAAAATAGCAAAAGCCTTGAACAGTCTTCAAATAGCAGCCGTGGGAGCAAAGCTGCGGGATCCGTGTACCCGGCAGCGATGTGCAGATGTGCCCAGGCTCTCCAAGTACTGCTCACTCTTGGGAACTGCCTGGCTACAGAAACATGGGCTGCATTTTGGGGTAATTTGCTGAGTATTCCAGCCTTTTTGCATCATTCTCAGCCTCCTTTGTGGCCCCTGTGGAGCTCTGTTCTCAGCTGCTACTGACACCCGAGCTCATCATTCAAAACTAGTGCCAGTCCAGTAGTGACTGCAGTCCTGCTCTGAGCCCACTGTGGGCAGACTCTAATTAGCCTTCACAAAGACTTTATTCACTTAAAGAAAAGACCACACTGTGTTCCTGCCTCAGATAGAACAGAACTCCATCCCTGCAAAGATGTCCTTCCTGTCCTGGATCCTTCCACAGGTGCTTGCTTCTATTCAGAGGAACGAATTAAAATCTTCTTCCTCCAGAGACTTCTGTCATTAGCTCGCCAAAGGAGTCTGAGAGCTGTAAAGTTTCTCCTGATGTCCAGGCAGAGATGCCTGAGCACATGAGGGAAGGAGCAGTTTTACCTCATGGCTGTGCAGTGAGCAGCCCACTGCAGTCCCCTCTGAGCAGGTGCACTCGCAGTGCCACACAGGGAAATGGGATATTGTCTCACACAATTCCTACTGACCACACTTGTCACTTTCCCCACTTTACTGTATCAGCTATTTCTTCTTCTGCCCTCTTAATCTCACCCACACTGTTGTATTTTTTTAGACTACAAATCTGTTATGTTTCAAAAAACTGCATTTCTGCTCTTCTGGTAAGATGTAATAGCAGCAGACTATCACGGGTAAAATCAGAACTGAGCCCCCAGGAGAAATGAGAAGATTATAATTTCTATATTATCCAAATTTTCTTTTAAAAAAGAAAATTTGAGAGAGCAGGAAGTATTCAGTTCCCAGTATTTTGGAAAGCTTATACATACACTTACATCTCTGTGACTTCCTGATAACACAAACCTTCCAAAGACAAAAGAAATAAATAAAGAAAATAAACATATATGTAAAAAGCTGCTATAATTGTCACAAAAATCCCCTTGTGGTTAAGACTGCAAGAAACTCTGCAAGTATCTTGGGATTTATACTCAAACTGGGAGTCACCACCCCTAAGAGACTTTTTTTTTAGAGATAGCCAGGTCACCTGTAATTCAAAATTCAATGAACAAATTTATCTAAGTTGCTTTTATAGTGTTTTTGCCTAATGTGATAAAATAGAGACAACAGAGGTGTAAAGGATTTTTTCTTTGTCAGTTTGGGTTATTTTTCCTAAGTAGGAGGGGATACCAAAGAAAGATTTCTTTGTAAATGGCTTTGCAATTCTTAACTCCTAAACAGGTGCTAGCAACATCTATGAAAGTTATTTTTGTAGAAGGATGCCTGTGCTTTCTCCAAACACTAAGATACAGGCAATACCAGAAAAAAAAAATAAAAAAATACACATATATCTTAAAGATTGTGCCTTTGTATTTTAACAAAAGCTGTTTTATAACCTGAAGGAAAATGACTATTTGACTGATTTTACATAACCTGCTTATCTTCAATACCTACCTTTTCAGCTTCCCTGGCTATAAATAGCCCTCACTCACATGACACAGCAAACCCACAGATCCCTCGCATCTCTACACACTGCAGATACCCCAAGAAGCTGCAGGAGGGGTCGATGAATCTTCCCTGAGCTGGCCAAACTCCATGAAGAGCACGGATGTGAACAAGGAGAACCCACAGTGGAACCATGAGCTCCAAAGGGACGTGATCTCACAGGCACAGGCTGACTAAAGCAGGCCTCCTTTCTGCTGCCTGTTCCCTGCTGTGAAGAGATGCCTCACAAAACCATAATTAACCTTTAAACCAGCAGTTAAAGTTAAGACCTCCCTAGAAAAGATGCCCAAACCTGTTTTTCATAAAAACGTTTTTATTGCTTTGAAGGTTTTATTAAAATGCCAACAGACCAATTACACAATTGTTTCCAGCATCTACCTGCCTTGGTTATCACTCAGCTCACAACACAGAAAGATATTTGCTCCATTACAGGCTCTCCTCTCATTCTCTGGAACTACATTTTTTATTCACTACTGTTCCCCAGGTAGTCCAGAAAATTTGGAATATCAATCTCTTTTGCTAACAATATAGTACCTTACAATGAATTTATGTGGTCATATATCAAAGGATTTGTGCTGTCTGAAACAACAGGGAAAGCTCCCTCCCAAACAAAACCCCTCGTGTCCAAAACCTGATTGTAACCAGAAAAAAAAAAAAAAAATCTAGAAAAGGCTTTGTTTGAAAAAGCACTGACAACTTTAAGCAGAAAATAAAAATTCTGGGTAGAATATTCTTTGCACTGGAGACTAGGATTAGCTAAAGTGGAAAGAGGTAGCAAACCCTAACCACTCCTGTAACCATTCAGCTCTTCTTGCCATGGCAACAATGCCATTAAATTCGCTGTCCTGTCTCACAGCAGAGCTCACAAGGAAGCTCTTCCCTTCTGGAGGCCCAGGGCTGCAGGCACAGCAGCCTCAGTGCCAGACTGCAAGGATGTGGAACTTCTGAGGGACCAGGTCCCTGCTTTGGCTCAGCCATCACATCTCCCTCCCCTGCACAGCCAGAGAGGTGCCTGGCAGGTGACTGCAATGCAGAAATAGGAACAGCTACAACTTGGAAACACTTCTCCATTTGAGCTGTGAAGGGCTGAGCCTGTGCCCTGCAGGTCTGTGAGTTTATAGGAGTGCCCCTGTTGCTATCAGTGCCAGTGCCTGTACAAGTGCATTACACACCAGGAGATAAGTTTGATAGCTACTGTCCTTTGAAAAATACCAGCATTGTACTATAATCCTGGAAAATCTGACCAGCAGCATGTTTAGATTATTGGGAGATAATGACTGCTTTAATAACATTGTCTTAAAACACCAAAATAGAGAAAAAACAGAGATTTTTCTTGTTTATAACATGCATATTATCCAGACACATTGTTCAACATCAATAGAGTCACTTGTGAAATCGATGGTGACATTTAAAATGGTTACATTTCCAAGTTTAAGTTGTATGTAGACACTGAGCACATCTTCAGCTCTCCAATTCAGAATCATAGCATAAAAGCTGTCTGTACCTTGGAAATCTTTTGGAGTTTTTTGAAGGAAGCTGTTTGGGTTTTTAATAGCTGACTACTATGAGAAATGACGGAAATCCGAAAGACATTTTATCCGTCTCATTTTTAATGTTTTCCAATTGTTGTCTCCAGAATAAGCTCATTCCTCCACAACCAGCAATTTTCTAGCCAGAGATTTAAATAAATCAGTGAGCAGTGATGTGCCATAGCGGCATTTCTAAAATTAGTTGCACTCTTATAATTCTGATTTCCCACCTCTGCTCTTCCCTGGAGTACTCAGGCTACAGAGCCAAAGGACACAAAACTGAAATATAAAGATAGGCATAATGGCTTTGCCAAAAACATATTTTTGGCATTTATGTACTACAGGCCTCTCTTCAGCCAGTTTATCTTTTAGTTCATTTCCACCAGAATACTCAGCCAAGTTTCAGCTCAGCTTATGCTACATGGAAGTCACACCATTTCTGAGAGCCTCCAGCACGCAATTCAGAGCTGCTCACTCATTTTTCTTTCTTTTCCTGTTGTCAGGGATAACCTCCAATGTATTTACAGATGAGAAAAGGATCCTTCTGGAAAATCTTTCTGCAGCTGAATTGAGAGAGCTAATGGGGCTCATAGATTTTTCCTGAGACACCACAAGCACCTTCCAGCAGAAAGTGCCCATTTGTTTGCTACTGAAGGAAGCTCTTTGGACCCTGCCAGCTTCATCCAGGATCCATCTCCTGCAATTTCCAGCTAAGGCTGAGGAGCTGACATGGAGCAGAGGAGCTCCACCAGGAGCACCCACCATGTCTTTTGTCACAGCACATTGTCCTTAGGAAAGCTTTACCACTGCAGGTTGGGCTCCAGCCCTGGTGCCAGAGCACAGCCCAAGCACTGCAAGACCACCTTGCCAGAGCAGCTTAGCCCTGAGTCATGGTTCCTGCTGTGCTTTCCCTTGCCTCCTGCTGGGAATATGCAGTTTCTCACAGATCTGTGCCAGCCCTTATTGATCCTGTGTCAGATCTTTATTGCACTCACCCCAAATCTATTAGTTGCTCTGGCATAAGCTGGAAGAGGCAAAGATGCATGAAGCTGCCTCGCTGACTTTTCTAATAGCTTTTCTTCAAATAAGCTGTTCCTGTAGTATATACAACATTATTAACAGTTTATACTTGAGGGCAAACTGTGAGTAGTGCTTCTTGTTTCACCCCTCTTCTCCTGGATCCACCTGTAAATACTATTACACTAAAATTTCAAGGCTTTTGAGTAAAGACCAGTTTTTTATTTGCATTTGCAGTGAGATCACAGACCACAAATAGCTTCTTGCTGCTGCAACACAAATACTTTATTTATACTTCTCATGAACTTTTCCTTCCACTTTTCTTGTTTTCTCTGCCCTCCCTAATGACTGAAAAATTAGTAAACTTCAGCCACTGACCCTCCAAGCTGCAGTTATCAGTGTTATCTCACTGTAACAAGTTTTGAGCATCGAATGACAAGAGTTCATTTCCCTTTCCAGCCTTTTCAGCCCTTCTCTCCTCACAGTCGCTTTCCTCCCCAGTTAAACCAGACACTGTAAAAAGCCCACTTGTTGAGACAGTGCAGACTGGGAGAGCTGGGTGGGCCAGTAGCATCCAGCACCTGTGCCAATTCTGCCCCCACTGCCTGCTTGCAGCAGCACCACATACAGGATTCAGAGACACAAAAACAGGTTTTGCTTTCCAGAGTTGCCAGAAACAAAGCCAGCCTCAGCCTGTCTGCAAGAATCAACAACAAAAACAGCATTCATGAGCACTTGCCAGCTGAAGGATCACAACCCACCTCGAGGTTTGTGCATCAGATTTAGCCCATATATCTCCAAAATGCAGCTGCAACTGCCATGAAATGCTATAGCTCAACAGCTCAGGGTGGCCCAGAAAAGGAAGAAAACCTCAGTGTTACACGATTCTCTATTTTTGATTGCCTCCCTAACTCCTCTGCATTTCCACCAGAGACAGGTCACTGCAGGAAGGGCAGAGAAGAGACAGAGCACAGGTGGGGGCAGAGCATGCACACAGGCTGCATTTTTAAACCCTCCAGTCTCCCAGTGTCAATAGGCCAAGAAAAATGAGATGGAACCACAAATTTCAGGTTAAGTCATCAAATAAATCTACCTAATCTACCAGGAGCTTGTATATGAGTCTGAGATGTGGCTGCAAAGCTTGGTATGAGAATAAAATGGATGAGACCTCCAGAAACACAAAACCCAACCACCCCCAGCAAAGAGAAGTATTAGTCAAAAATATCCCACCCCATCAGGGTGTGTATGAGCAGCCAGCTGTAGTTGAGTGCCACTCTGACCATGTGTGACACACCAGCCATAGAACAACACATGAATTAATGCCATCAAATTTCTACTCCTGTCTCTTCAGCACTATGAGCAGAACAGTCCCCAGTCTCAAAGTCAGTAGCTACTTCACCCATGGTGAGCTGAATTGATATAAAAGAAGCTGAATTAGACCTGAAACATGACAACCTTTAGTGGCTTATCTTCTCCCCCTGGGAGTGAAAATACCAGGATTAACAACAGTTTGTGTATCCACAACTTGCACTCTCACTGAGCCCCAGTTACCTCAGGAAGAGTGACATCCTCTCAGGAACAGAGACAAAGCAGAGGTGCCTTAAGAAAGTAATTTAATCTGTGCTTAAGTGAGGACAATGCCAGCGAGGATGCCAGCCTTGCAGATGTATTGTGAACATCATTTAAAGGCCAGTTAGTGGGAAAGGTCTCCCAAGTGGTCCCTGACCTTTAACTCCCAATGTCTTCCCAAAACAACCATGAAGGGCATAATCCCCAGTTATCAAAGAACATTTACTAATATTGAACCACTGCTGGTTCTAGAGTGGCACCACTCTCTTTTCCACCAGAGATACCATCTTCTATTTACTGGCCCACTTTTTTCCCACTGTCCTCTTCACTCTCTGTCCCTTGAGCAAGGAAGGAGCAGTCTGTGGGAACCAGAAAATCCAACACTATGCTCCTTCCAGTCTTCCCTGGCAGGAGGTTTGTCCCTGTGCCATACATGCAAAACACTAACAATAATACTGAAGCATTGAGACTACTAGTTATGACAGTAAGCACAACTGCTTTCCTGTTAAATTACACTTGCCCCAGCTGGTAATCACAGTCATTTCTTGTGTCTAGTTATGTACAAATTTGTCCCCAGCTTGGGACAAGGATCCTCTTTTCTCTGTCTGGGCAGTGCAGAGCCCAAGGGATGGCTGGGGAGGGTGAACAGCATCTCTCTGAGATGTGTGTGTGTCCACACCTCATCAGCTTCTCAGGAGAAGGCTGGAGATTTTATGGAAGCACTGTGGTGGGACCTAGAAGTGCTGAAAGAAGTCTGGGATACTCTGGGAGTACAAGGATGCACAGCCCAAAGGGCTTTCATCTCTGCTTGTTCCTGAAGGTGCTTCTGTAATATGTGTAAATATACTACATATGATTTCTGAGTTAGTGAAAAAAGCACTTGTTACATCCAAACAGGAACAGGGGCTGCAGTGACTGTGTGGTACTACCCTATTTCAAACATACATTCACAGCTATGTCAGACATATCCTTTGC